GAAAGGAATTCAATAGTGTATTCACTTCAAAATTCCTTTGAAGAAGTTATGTTAAGGAAAAATTCAACCTGTAGCACAATGATCATAAATTTAGTTAGTCAAAACTAATTAACTGAGTTCATGTCCTAGAAATTTCAGAATCATGCTTTTTGATGATTACATCGGTGGTGATATATAAGTAGAGGGCCCTGCCTGTAGCACTTTTGTTTATTATATCATTATTTTTGTTGTTTTTGAGATGGGGTCTCATTATATCACATAGGCTTGCCTCAAACACATGACTCCCCACAGCCTCCTGAGTAGCTAAGCCAGTAGGCATGTGCCACCTTTTATATGTCTTTATTACACTGCACACAGCATTCTAATTGTTTGCTTTCTTGTCTCTCCTCATAAGGATATTATTCAGTTCATTCAGCAAATACTGTCAACCCTAGTGTGCACCAAATGCTAGGGGTACAACAGAGAATCAGTCAGACAAAAACATATATTCTCAAGATTATATGTTAGTATTTTAGTGTCAGATGCAGAAATAAAACTAGCAAAATGTATCATTAGTTAGGGAAGTTCTTTAAATATCCATCTCTGTGACATGAACATCTAGCACACAGATAACACTCAAAAACTTCTCACTGCTAGAGTTATATCTTTTATGAATATACAAAGGAATAGAGGCAAACTTCTTCAGTATGTTTTTTAATTATAAACACCATGGGCGTCCTCATTCTGGAAGACAGTTGTACAGGTATAGGGTGGAGGATGTTGAGAAACTTCCAGAAGAAAGCATTCATATCCGTGGATGCTTTTATCTATATGTAAAGTACCCTGGCATATTGACTAATTGTGACAAATTTAACAGCTAAACAATTGTATCGTGTGGCCCAAATGCATGGGTATTTTATTATATCATCCACCTGTTTTCCTCTTGAAAACTTTGTAGTACACATAAACTCACTTTGCTGTATATCTCTTTGACTTCTTTGTTTTTCTTTTGGTAATGAGTGCCTTAGGGATATCAGGTTAATTAATTGATTTTAATAGACCACATATGCAAAAACATTATTGTCCCGCTAGGATAAGAACATGAATGAGTAAATAAAATCTGAAAGGTACTGTGATAGGGAGAGATACTGTGAAAGGGAAAGAATGTGTTCAAAGGGAAGGAAAAACTGGGATGAGGTAAAGGGCAGGAGGGGCTGGGGGAAAGAGATATGTTTATGTTTGTATGCAGGATGGCTTGAAGAATTACACTGCTGATTTCTGCTGGTTCACAGAGGGGAGCAAGTGCTGAAAGGTATCTGTGAGGAGAATGTCGACACAACTCTCTGGAATGCAGACTGGGTGGGCTAATCAGAGAAGAATGTTCAAGAGGCCGATGGACACTCAGCCTGATTAATTGCCATCAGGCTCTGTGCGCAAGCACTGTAAGCTGTGTTCGTTGGCCCTGTTTGCAGACGTTCTTCTTTCTGACCAAAGTTCTCACACAGCTCCTGCCATTTTTATCGGTGCTTAGTCCCACAGGCAGTTCTGGGGCATCCTCGGTTCCACCAGACTCACATATCCATAGTATGCGTAAATGACCCACTTGAGTTCTGATTCATTAGTAAGATAGTGAATTTTCACAAATGACATGGGGGAAAATAACTTGCAGGCACAATATATGATCAATAAAATTGGATAAATTTAGACACAAACCAAAGGAGATAGTCAAAACCTTTCATACTTCTGTAGTCTAAAGTTAATGAATGAAAGTATTGATATACACTCTGTTAAATTTTTCTCTGAAGAAAAACAACATTTTTTTCCAAATTGGGGTACAGCATCAATACAGATCAATAATTTGTTATTGAAAAAGTTACCAATCATAAGCAGTAGTGCCTATGTATTTTTTCATTAAGGGAGATTACCACAGGTGTTCTTAAATGATCAATAGCACGCTGTTCTCAATGACATACTCCAGATATTTCTTGTACAAAAATATTTCATCCATATTTTTATTAAGTAATAAGCCATTGCCAAGTTGCCCTCCAGAATGACTGCTCTTCATGTCTGGCACTGACAGATACAGGAGGGCAAGAAGCAGAGAGTGGTTATGATGTTGGGGCACTACACCTGTGTCCCAGGCTCCTGCAGGAGAGGGCTCTGTGTTTTTTTCCCAGCTGGTGACCATCTCCTATTTATAGGGCACAGAGAAAAACTAGAGAAGTGTATGCTTCACTAACTTAAGTGCTTCAATTTGCCCGTCTCTAAAACAAGGCCAGCGGTGCCAAGGAATTACAGAGTAGATTTGTGCATATGCACAGCTCATTGTCTTAGTTAGGCTGAGATGCCCGGGAGTAAGCCTAGTCATTGTTAGAAAAGGCGTTCACTTCACACTTGTAAAGCAAGAGAAATATTCATCTTTAAACAAAAACATTGTAACAAACAGATTAGAAATTCTACAGTGTCTGCTTTGTTCATCATTGTACATCCAGTGCCTGGCACATTGCCTGGTGTATAGCAGATAACCAATAAACATTTGGCAAGTACAGAAGAAACATGAAGTGAAAATATCTCAGTCTGACCACCAATTAAATCTTGGCTCTGATTTCTTTGTATGGGAAATAGGCTAATAGGTGAACTTCTTCAAACCGATTGGGCAATGTAAGGAACAGTGATACAAGAGGTTGTACGAGACCCAGGTGCTTTTGTGCAGGAAACAGCATTTTTTACTTTTGGTTTTTAGCTAAGGATACTTAGGCATCTAGTTTAATTCAGCATTTTCCCAGGGAATGAACCCTGGGGAGGTGGGGAATAAACATTTCCCCAAAGATTTGCCTGGTTTGCAAAATTTTGTTTCTTTTAAGTGGCAACAAACCACCCTGGAATGCAGTCGGCGCTGTTGTATTGAGCCTTTTAGAAACATTAAATGCCTGAAAATATGAGACCCTTGTGATGGGTGGTCAGAGCTGTCTCTGATGATTAGATATTCTTCTTAAAATAGTCTGAAGGAACAAAAATAACATGATTGAATTCATCCCCAAATGCACTGAGTACATTTTAAGTGTCAGCTCTGTATTCATTATTAGAAAAAAAAAAAAAAAAAAAGAAAAGCAAAAGATTTTCATAGATGTAGAAGAAAGCACACAATTGTTATGTGGTATTGTAAGTAATGGAACTCGATGTAGACACGGTGCTGTGGTGGTGGCACAGAGGAGGGAGACACTGCTAGTGCATTTTGGTGAGGATGGCAAAATTTACACTGGGCCGTAACGATGATTGTGCGGAGCTTGAAGGATGCGTAGAAGTTGTCAGAAAGAAGAGAAGTTTAAACCAAAGAAAGTCACACAAGCCAAAGCTCAGAAAGGCTATGGTACATGTAGGGCAAGTGTGGCCTTCTCTAGCAGTCAGAATAGTAGGAATTTGCAGAGAAAATGACATTATTGAGATGGACTTTCAGATGAGTCCTCAAGGGGCCAGCTGAGGAATGTATATGTTTTTGTACAGATAATAAAAGTTTTGATAAGCTGTACTTATCTCAAAGATCTCATCAGTGCAAGCAAACACACTTTTTAAATGTATTTAGTACAGGGTCTACAGGGTCTCACTACACACATCAGACTCTTAGTCTTCCTGTTTTCAGCCTCCCAAACCCTGGGATTACAGGCATGCGCCACCACACCCAGTCTCAGCCCGCCCTGGGGGCATGGCTGTGGGAGATGGAACCACGTCGCTATGCTTGCTTAAGCAGGCACTTTAGTCTGCTGAGCAAAATGGCTGGCCCAACAAACACACTTTTTTTTTTTTTTTTTTTTTTTTTTTTTTTTGTATGTGGCTACAGGATCTACAGGGTCTCACTATGGAGACTCATACTGATCCGTCTATGTTCAGGCTCCCAAGAGCTGGGATTACAGGTGCGCGCCACCACACCCAGTCTCAATCACTGTCTCAGTGTGCCCCAGGTGTATGGCTGGCATGGCACACCAGGGCTTGAACCCTGGCCGCTGTGTCTGCCTAACGTAGGCGCTTTAATCCACTGAGCTATTTGGCCAGCCCCACAGTTCTGATGATGGTCTTGACATTCTTTTTACTTGGATTTAGATTTTGTTACGTGGTTTTTAAATCTTCATGATATAACAGTGCAAATGTCATTTAAGTTTTCAGCTCCATCTTCTGATCATTCATGCTATACTTGCTTTTATAGCCACGATGTTCCCACAGCTCTTTTATTTGTCTTTTCTGCAACTCTTTGGAAGTTCAATGTGGCTTAGTGATTTGACTCATTTATACAGTAATTAGAATTGTTTGTGGAACTAATTCTAGAAAATGATTTCTTTGCAATCCAGAGGTATCAGGAAATGGATGCAAGAGACCAAGATAGGCATCGTCATTTTAAAGTCACAGAGGTGGTGCAGAGACGAACTCGTTTCTACAAAGTTCCTAGAAAGTTATTCACATATTTTGGGCATATTTTAGCCAAATTAAGATGAGACTGAGAGATATAGAGGAGAAATGTAAAATTAAAGAATCAGAATCATTGCAACTAACAAGCACAGAATTCTAAAGGTATTCTACAACAATGTCATATATCATGTACAAATTATTATCAAATGTTCTGAATTTGTTTAGAAAAGTCATCAGCTTTTCTTTTACTTAAATGTACTTCAGTGTTTCATTAAAATATAATTTGCATATTGGCTTTGAGATTGTTATTCCCAGAGTATGAAGGGTCTAGTTACTGACAGTAATCTGTGTTTTCCTTCAAGCCATTTTATTTGTGCATATCTGACTTACCACAGAAGTTATCATCTTTGCAGTTCTGATGTCCATTTGAATTCAAAGGATTTCAATGTCTCCATAGAGATTCTGCTAGTCCTCATTTTTTTTTGGCCAATATTTTGCAAAACAACCTAACTGTGGAAAGTGGAATGAATGTCATGCACATAGTTGGTTAAGTTAAAGAACTACAGCATAGAATTGGAAACCTACCTGTGCTGAATCTTTTTCCTGCTTTTGTTTTCTAGGTAACAATGGCCAACATTGGAATCAATGCGAATAATTCTCTAGAGACCTGTGAAACCACACTGTTTGCTCTCCGAATGGCAACGTGGAATCAGATCCTCGATCCCTGGGTGTACATTCTTCTCCGGAAGGCTGTCCTTAAGAACCTCTACAAACTTGCCCGGCGCTGCTGTGGGGTGCATGTGATCAGCTTTCATATTTGGGAGCTCAGCTCTATTAAAAATTCCTTAAAGGTTGCTGCCATTTCCGAGTCACCGGTTGTAGAAAAAGTCAGTCAGCAAGCACCTAGTTTAGTAGGACAGTAAGTTGGCGCAAGGCTAGAACAACATTAAGAATATTTTGGGCAGTATTTCATTTCATTAAATAAATAAGTGTAGACTAACTGGAAAATTCAGACCTCAGCATGTAGTTTGGGAATGCATTTGTCTACTCAGCTTGTTAAATTTGTTAAATTAGCTGTCTGCTTGCACAGTTTTCCTTCTTTGTTGGTTGGATTTGAATGAGACAATGCCATGAGGTCAAACAGACTATAATGTTGAGCTTATCTGTGTGACTTGGGCTTTTGGAATAAATGAATCTGTTGAGGTCTAAGATCCTAATGGTACCTTCATGGTAAAACTGCCTTTTGAGGCCACTGCTCTGCATCAATTCCTTATTCCATATAAACTAGGCTCAGTGAAATAGAAAACCATCAGTGTGCTTTTTTCTGACTCTGTTCTAGTAGTCATATATAAGCTCATTCAGTGTGCATGCATGATTGTGACATTGGGGATCCACTGTGGCTGACAGGTCTGGGTGGCAAGTTGTCTTATCTTGTAAAGCTCTTTCAGATGAGCCTATCTTGTTGCATTTGACAAATACGACTGCTTGCATTTATTGTAAGCAAGGTCAGTTTTTGTTGGAAAGGTTGTTTTTGGCAAGTAATAGAGTTGCAGTTGTCAAACAGTTTCCTTTTTCTCTGGAAATTTGGGTGAACTGATCCACAATAATTTTAGAGAAATGGATTTCCTCTTAATACACGTACAGACAACTTGCATGACAATCAGTTTCTAAAATGCTTTGTCATGGGTAACACAAGCAACTTAAATCCCAGTGATACTTACAGAGAATGTAGACAAAGATGCTTTACTGTGAGCCATAATTTTTGGGTCAGCAAACAAAAAAGTTCATAATATATAGTATCTACAATCTGCAGCTAGTGTGTTTCTGGTTTACACACACACATGGGCATCAGAAATTTCTGTTGAAAGCAGGTTCACTGAATCAGTAAGACAGAATCTTGTAATGCTTATGCTACCGGTGTGAAGGGGATAATTGGAAATTAGCCGTACATTTTGGGGTATATTTAATTGTTACTCAGAAATTAAGGGACAATAATGTCTCTCCAAGTTTCCCAGTCACTCTTCCTTGTTAGTATAGTTCTACCCACATTCTAATTCATTGGGTAGAATGTGGTAATACATATTCAAAATGTCCTGGGTCCATCAGGGATTAAGGCAGGTAGGTCTGTTTTAGAGGACTGAAATACATTTCTAGAAAGTTTTCCTGCTTTCGTTAAGTTAGATCCCTTTAAAAATTAATTTCACCTCTGAGACTGACTTCAGACTTTCAAGAAAATATCTGAATTCAATTAAAATGAAAATATTATGTTCACATATTTATGATTTTAGTTGCTAGTTTACATGGGAATTGTTAATTTGGGGGAAATTGTGGTAGATTCTCATTAATAAATTAAAAGAATTTAAGCAAATAGCCCCCATTAAGACTTAAAGTCATCATTTTTTTCAAGGAGTTTAAAGAAGAAAAACATTGGCACATGATATTCTTACAACCAGTAAATGATTAATCACATGACTTTAGTTTATTCTCCTATAAACAACACATAATAGATGCTAGATGAGTTCTTGCCAAAGGGAATCACAGACAAGAATTTCCTGGTGCAAATTGGACATGGAATTGCAAAGTTTTTACATGTTTTTAATTTAAGCTGACAGTTATATATTGACTATTGTGGTGTATATATGTATGTATATATGTATGTGTGTGCATGTATGTGTATATAATGCTTATTTCTAAAAGCCATTTTAATTTGTGATTGCTATTAAATTGCACAAGTGTTCTTATGTGTCTCAAGAGCACCTAAAGGCAAGAAGAATTTTCAGATGTTTCATTTACTTTAAGACCAGGTGTTTGTTTCCTGGAGCTACTTAATGGTGGTGGTATTCCATGAAATAAAGCACAAGGAACCACATCTTTCTCCACCCTCAACACTTTGGATAAGAACCTGCCGTGAACACTTTCATGTGCTTTGACTGGAGGAAGGCACTGGGAAGACCTCATTCACAGGCAGCAGGCCTCTTGTCTGGAAGCCTGAGCCAATGGCAAAGTTATCTGTCTATTGCCACAGTGTCACCCTAGCCATGGGTGTCTGCACTGAAGAATCTTGTGCACCATTGCTTTGTGTGGGAGGCAGATGTCTGGCGAGTGACAAAGTCACTCTGCACGTATTCTAAAGGGTTATCTATATTATCTGGGCATAGATTTTGGGCCATTGAATAGGTCAGAACATGATGTGAAATGCATCAAGTAGACATGGAAAATTGAAAAAAAATACTAAAAGAGTATAAGTTTACATTGTTTTAGGCTTTTCCCCCTAAAGAAAATGAAATTAAAGTGAACACAATAATGTACATACCTGGCTTCAGAATTTTGTTTTTGATATTCTATATGCTGCATATAGTTTAGCATTTTACTATGTAGTGACCAACAGAGGAAGCATTCACGGGTAACTTCCACACGCGTTCCAACTGGCTATATGTTTGTTCTGAGTTTTGGAAGTACATGGTACAAAACATTTTAACAGATTTGCCATGTTGACTGAGTGAAGCTCTGTTATAAAGTTCACAATTAGACCTAAAGTGCACCTCAGTATCTCTGCATCAGGTAAAGTACTGTGCTGCAGTTTCACATGCGATTGCAGCACGTGATTTTTGGAGATGATACTGTTATAGGCAAATGCTAAACATGTACGGCTTGTTTTAGTGTCTGAATTTTTTTTAAAAATGAAATAAAATTTCCTAAAGGCTGTAGGATTATGTATACAAAGACAAAGACAGAGAGTGCTGACTCGTAATTAGCCGAGGACACATCTGAAAACAGGGTTTTTTACTGATGAATTCAATTAGGTATAGAAACATGCACTTTAAATTTTTTTTTCTGGGGATAGAAAACTGCTTTTATCTGTATAGCTATCGTGGAAAATTCCTAAACATGAATATATACACATATATAAATATATCAGTGTGATATAACGAGTTGTGTTTGTTCACATTAGGACTTAAAAAGACAGATTTGCTTTAGTTGTGTGCCTAATTTGAGTTTGGAATCTAAGTAAGAGCACTTGTCAAATATATATAGAGAGCTTCTGTGAAAATTGTTACTGCCTTCTCTACAGCCTCGTCGCCCCAGATCAACCCTCTAGGTCAGAGAATAAAGACAGGGAATGTGCGTTTTCTTGTTCCCTCATCTGGATGTTAGAAGAATTTATCACCTGGCAAATAATGTTGGGCTCCAACTTGCTACTAACGTACCTTAGTAAAATATGAGATATATTTTTTGTCATGTGAATAGCTATATTTTGTGTTCTTTATGTAAAAGATTAAATAATGATATGTATATGTTGTTCTTTGTATTGGTATGTAGTTCATGTAATTTTAGTGGTTCAACTAGCTTGAAACTTCAAATGATTTTATAATAAATGTTGATTGGTGTTCATCAGGAGTGGTTATTTTAGGAAGGTCCTATAAAACTTGGAAATCTTGAACCTGAACTCCTATTTTTATTTGCTGCTAGAGGGAAGACTTTTGTTACACATTCCCTACCCAGTCTTTGGTGACATCTGTGTTTCTTTTACCTGTGCTTCACTTTCACTCAGGCAGGTCATAATTCACATCTGATCATTTTCAAAACCTGGTGACCAAGGGACCGTTAGCATAGCCTAGATATGACTTTGGTAACTGAAAATCTCCAAATCTCAGTGCTGTCAGCCTCATAAGGTTTATATCTTACCTGGGGCTCCTGTTCACTCAGAAGGGACAGGAGCCCCAGGTAAGATGTCATTATAATCACTTCTGAGAGCTGCAGTGACAAGACGGCTGGCACTAGATTTGCCATTCTCTATGCTAGTGGGAAAGTACCAGGTGAAGGAGAAAGAACCATGCCTAGGGCTGTAGAGCATCCACCCGGGGGGGGACACACACTGACTCATATTTCCCAGCCCAAAGCATGTCAAGCAGGTGACATCAAGGGAGAAGGACCCCTTGACATTAAGGGAGCAGGTAAGTGCGTCCTGGGAGACACAAAGAGAACTGACAATACTAATGGTTTCAACGTTAGAAACAAATTTCATTTTTATCTTCCTAATAATATTTAAGCAGGAATCTTTTATTTAAAGATTTTTTTAAGGTTTAGAAACATCGTGGCCTGAAAAAGAGATAGGATTCACTCTTCATGAGTACTGGGAGAAGGGTCCCTATAATCTCTAAAGATAAGGCAGAATGAATGCTACAATGCTGTGTATCATGAACAGAAACTCTAGATTTTCACAGTTGTACAGAATAAAAGGGGAATAATTGATTCTTTTCTTTCTCTCTTTTTTTTTTTTTTTTTTTTTTTGCAGAACCAGGGATTGAACTCAGGCCCTTGTGCTTGCCAGGGAAGCACTTATTCCACTGAGCTATCTCCCTGGCCCCAGTGGAATAAGGTTTTTTTTGCTCCGAATGCCTTCAGGGCAGGTTTGGCTGGTTTGTGTTGTGGGGATTGAACCACAGCAACCTGAGCCTGACTGCTTTGATGAAGCAGCCACTTAAAGAACTGAGCTAAGGGGCAGGCCCCCAATTGATTCTTAAAGATGCAGAATAACTTTCTATAAAATGCCCAAAGCATTGCCTATTGCAGCTGTGTCTGAAATGAATGCTTTTCTAAGAAGTAGTTTTGCCTTAATGCTTTTCATTTCCTTGAGATATGATGTGTGTGCCCTGGCAAGCCTCCTGCCCCTGAATGCTGTCAGACTGTCAGAAAACTCAAATGGTGTAACAGCCCTGGAGCAAGATTAAAGTACATTTCTGTCCTTTTCCTTCCCCCCAAGCGGGAATAGTTCCTTTTTTATTTATTTTTTAAATAATTTTATTGAGAAACAAATAGCAATGAGATAGCTTCAAAACCGATTAGTAGGACAGTTTCAATAATTAATACATTGCATATTGTTGTCTTCTTAGTGGTTATTCATAGTACATGATGCGGACAGGATATCCTGTTCACAAACACTATTAAAAAATCTTTCTATTCATTAAATTAAGAGAAAGTAGCTGTACATCTATCCTATTTTGAATATACAGATACAAAATGGTCCTTCATTTGTATCCCCTTTTTTTGTTTGGTTTTGTCAGAGAAGGGTATTCCATTGTCATTTAAATATTGTAGAAAAAAAAGTCAACAACTTCTGACATTGCCTGTCCTATGGAAAACCCACTACTGTTACGGACTACTGGACTATATTGGAATATTTTGCTGAATTCGCACACCTACAATATTTAAATGACAATTTATTTTGAACTCAATCATGGCAGTACATAAGGCAAATCAGGAACTTCATTAAAATAAAATCTTTGTGGTCCTGTGATGCAAGCACTTATGTTCTAAGCATCCTGTTCTAAGCCCTGGAAAGGAGTTACTGTTCTGGTAGAGCTGCCCCTCCCTAGGTAAATATTAAGCAGTAGGATCAAAGATATGACTTTAACTTACAGAAAGTAGTATTAAGGTTTTCATCTCATAAAATATTTAAATTTGCTGATGACATATCGGTAGTTAATAGTTTAGGGAAAAAGAACAGTAAAGCTGGGTGTAATGGTGCACGTCTGTAATTCCAGCCCTTGGGAGGCTGAGGCAGGATGATCACTGTGAGTTCAAGGCCAGCCTGAACTGCATAGTGAAACTTTCCCTCAAAAGAGACCAAAAAAAAAAAAAAAAAGAATAATGAAAAATCACTTTCTTTTAGCAATGTGTCCGCAACAAAGCAGAAGCAATATTATTGAAATCTGAAGAAAGCACAGTTTAGATTTGCAATGTACTTCAAAATTTTGATTTGAAGATGTGAACTCCGTCTTAGGATATCGTATATAACTTCATTTGAATTTTCTAAATGCCTGGCTTGTAAAACCCTAAATTAGCAAAATATAAATATATTATGCTGTTGAAGTGTTAACCTTCCCAGGTTAAATAAATTCTATGCTAATTGAAACTTACATGAGTTTAGTTTTAAAAAGTGAGATAAACTTGAATCATTTATAGTGACATGAATGCACCTTGATGCCATGATGCTAAATGAGATAAATCAGATGCATAAGCTTGGGAATCAAGCGGCTTCTCTGAAGAAATCCAAGTTATAAAGAACTAAATAAATGATAGATAACAGGAAACAGGAAGACAGATCTTTCCCAGATAGAAAAAGATCAAGAAATGGAGGGAGGGGTAGGGAAGGAGAATAGATAGAAGGAATGAAGCTGTGCGGGTGCGTGTACCAGCTCCCCACCAGGAACATAAACAGTCATGTTTTAAGGAATCTAAGGACTTGGTACCCAGTGTACAAATTTGGAGGGACACAACTCAAGTTTGTAACACAAGTACGGATACCGATGTTGGGATAAAGCTATAGCAACTGACCTATCCAGGGATTGAACGTATTTTCTTTCTCCATAGCTAACATGCATCCTTAGCATTTACGTGGAGGATTTATGAAATCATATTGCTGGGCTCCACATCAGTGACTGATTCAGTAAGTCTGGGATGTGGCTAGAGAATTCCTGTTTTTAATGGAGACCCAGATAAAGGATCCAGGCAATGCTACCTGAGGAACACATTTTGGGTTGGCCTAAACTAGATGCACCACACATACTACATGACATAAAACATAAAAAGAACCAGCAGACAATGAGCCCATGAGGTTTTGACAATCTGAAATTACACCACTAGTTTAGTATTGGCAATTTCATGCCTATCCTAATTGCTTCCCTAACTCTAAACAGATTGGATCTGAAAAATGCATGCAAAAATGTGACAGAAAAAGTATAGGTTGATATATACTGAGGAAAAAAAAAAACCCAAACAATTGTACACACACACAAAAAAAAATGCAGAAAGAGTGAACTAAGGTTTAGTTAGTTGATCTCAAATCTTAGTGGATTTTTCTCAAAATATAGATAGGCAAAATTCCCATTGTATTCTGTGAGAATACTGTTTAAATTTTATTCCTCTATTCAAAGCATTGTGTTCTTTTCACACTCATCCTCTTCCCTCTTGTGCTCTCTTCTCCTTTCTTCACTTCACTTTTAAAATCTTTTCTCTACTTCTTTACTTTCCATTTTATTTTGAAAGAAAGAGTTCAAGGCTACTTGGATTAGGTCTACATTTTCCTCTTGACACTTCCAGTGTTTATAATATTTGATCCTGGTATTTTCCTCTCTTGTTTGAGTCTACTTTGTGGGTTTAAAAAAATTTTTTTTTCTAATAAAATAAATCTTTCATCATTTCTTGGCTTTGCCTGGAAGAACTGGGTATTTGTTTTCTAAATAAAATATAATGTTAATACTTTTTTTCTGGGGAGAAATAAATTATTATTATGGATTTTATTCAC